GTCAAGCTCTCAATCGCCCATTTTGAAAAGGAGAAAACATGCTGCAAGGTATTAGGGTTACAATATTGTCATTAAAATTCTAACATCATCCGTAATCTTAGAAGGATAAAGGTATCTGATTATTTCCATGGATGCTAACAATTTAAATTTTCTTAATAATTTCAGAAAAGGAAATCAAGGTTTAGGCTAGATGACAAGAACCCATCAAAACAGAATTCTAGTTTTACCATTTCATCACTGAGTCACCAAATAGGCAAATTATTTAACAATCAACAAATTTACAGGAGGATTTGTAATTTAATTCAAATTATTTGAATGTTTTCTGTTCTTAATATTCTATATCACTCCTAAAATACGTCAAAATTAAAATAAATAGCAGAATAGCATGCAGCTGAAGACATATTACCAGATAGAGATTTTAGACAAAATCATTACTATCATTTTAAGTTGCCCCAATAACTTTCATAACAATGAAAGCTATTATCTGAGTAATAGACTCTCCTTGCAGTATTACTTCTTTAGTCAAAAAGCGGTGCTACATGTTTCCAAGTAGCTCATAAATCTGGAATCAAAATATATTGATGAGTTGCATAGATTTGTTCTCAGAGTTCGCTTTGATTTCCATGACTAAGTCCTCAAAATTTAGAGCAAGAAACTAGGTTTGTGTAAAGAAGATACCATATGCTTCATATTCAATCACTCTGCTTGTTTTCTTTGAATAACATCTCATTTACTTATTAAAAGGTTTTCATATTAAGCAATAGCAACATTTTAACAAAAATGTTTTGCTTCATTAGTGATACTTGGCACAGACACCTCCAACAAATATGAGATTAAAAACAGCTTGGGACAGAGAATCTACTTTGCAGTGGAGGAAAGCATCTGCTTCAATCGTACTTTCTGTTCCACCCTTCGATCTTGCACCCTGAGCATCACAGATAACTCAGGTCGAGAGGTGATAACAGTCAATAGGCCCTTGAGGTGTAACAGCTGCTGGTGCCCTTGCTACCTCCAAGAGGTGAGTCATTGGCTCTGATTGCCTTTTTTTTTTTTCTTTTGCACATTTGAAAAGATTAGCAATTATTTCTTTAAATGGTATTCATTTGGAGCTGTGGGGCAATTAAACTTTCAGTTGCTTTAATTAGCATGTTGCTCCTTAAGGATCAGAACAGCTTGAGGATTTGGTGAATCACTGATATTTTTTTCCTTTCTAGCCACAAACTGTGGTGGCTCCCGTGATGTTAACTGGTGAAGTCAGCTCATGCACATTACATCCTCCTAATCTCTCTATTAGTCACATAATTGTAATGTCTATGAGTTTCACATTTGAGCAAATCTTT